GCAGAACCAGGCTCAGGGAGGGGCGGGGCCATCCTCTGTGATTGGTTGGGGAGTGGGAAGGAAAAACTCCCTTTTAACAGGAAGAAACCTCCGGCAGAACCAGGCTCAGGGAGGGGCGGGGCCATCTGCTGCAACCAGCACAAGAAGGCTCAAGATTTTTGGGAGATTCTTGAGGGATGTTGTCACCTTAACATGACCCAAGGTTATATTAATGTGAGCTGCTAGCTTTACTAGCTTCTTATGTAAACAATCAGCGATCCATCCAGTCATCACTAAGCTTTGTGCCATTACCTCCGCCCAGCAGGTCACATGACTTCGTGGAATCCCAGTACAATCTGAGCTGCTCAACAAAAGCGCTGTTTCACTTGACTTCCTGTGTAATGTGACACCTTCTGAAATCCTCACTTTATATTATTTTCATGATAACTGAATATAAATAACTTCAGTCTGCATAAGTGTAAACACTGTGGGTTAAATGTGAGCAGTAAATGCTGTACACCAGAGCGTGCTGTCAGCATGAAATGGGCTTTGAAAGGTCTCAGCTTGAGTCTTCTCTGCCCTTGTAACTGTTATGAGAGCATGCACTCCTTTAACTACTGATTTAATAAGCAAAGTGGCAAACGCTTTAAAATTGATCTTGATTAGTCGACCGGATACAGCCCATTGTCAGCATGCCACACTTGGTTATCCCATTTTAGTTTCTAGTGTCTTTGTTTGTCCTTTTTAGAATTTTGTTTAAAAAACAGATTTAATATCTGAAGCCCGACTCAGTTAACCCGAAAACATGCAGAGCACTTTGTGGCAGACGGATAAAGAGCCTGTCGCAGAGCGAGGAAACATTTCCGATATTCCACTTTTCAGACTTGTGTGGTAAGACACTGAAATGCAGCCGGACTCGAATGAGGAATCTGACCACTTATAATTTCCTGTAGTCAGTAATCGATGTGGGATAGTGTGAGAGCTGGTAGCTGGCTCTGCTGTGCAGTCATACAGCTGAAAAATGCTGCAAATATTCCTCCTCAGCCAAAAATTGATTTGTTCTATTTGCAGGATGGAAACAGAAACCAGGGTGTTTGAAAGGGATTTTATCCAGATAACAATCACCTCACGCTGGCAGTAATGATAGTAATGAAGTGTTTCCTCAAACACAACAAATTCTGATGTGGCAGTGAAATCTCAACTTGTGTCATCAAAATCACTGGCTTTATCAATATTTGGATACATATTGATATAAACTATGATGTTGATGCTTTTTATTTGCTTAGTCATTGGACACAGCTACAAAGAGAAGAGGAGATGGGTAGAAACTATATTTGCATTTCTGCAGTTTCAGTGAAAACTGTTGGAACACATGAAAAAAAACTGCATAAAGATGAGAGGTTTCCATAAAAGAAAGAAAGAAAATTCAAGTGTGGTTGAAAGAATTAATTTTGCTTTGTACTTTTAAGGATTTTATTCATTTATTTTCTACTGTGAATATGAGCAAAAAAAATTTCTGGC